GAATTGCATTCGGGTATTTGTTCTTCACACACAGGAGGCCGATCGCTAGCCCGTCGTATCATGCTGATCGGGTACTATTGGCCGTCCTTCCAGCTAGACTGTGAAAAGTTAGCTCGGGAATGTGAGACGTGCCAACTGTTTGTCCGGATGCCCGGACAACCGGCAACCTTCTATCATCCGGTCACGACTGCAATTCCCTTTGCTAGGTGGGGGGTAGACATCTTGGGCCCTTTCACTCAGCTCTCCGGTCGGAGAAAGTTCGTGATTGTCGCCATTGATTATTTTTCCAAGTGGATAGAAGCCGAGCCTTTAGCCACGATCACCTCTCAACAGTGTGCTCGGTTCCTTTGGCGCAATGCAATTTCCCGCTTTGGCGTGCCTATGCATCTCATCAGCGACAACGGCCGCCAATTCGTAAGCCAGTATTTCCAAAACTTCTTGGCCACGATCGGGACGAATCACGTCCGGTCGTCGGTGGCTTACCCGCAGGGGAATGGGCAAGTTGAAAACGCTAACCGGACGATTTTGGAAGGTCTAAAAAAGAAGCTACACTCGGCTGGTCGTAGTTGGGCCGATGAGTTGCCATATGTATTATGGACTTATCGGACGACCCCGAGGGAGGCTACCTTGGAGAACCCTTTCGCCCTGGTTTATGGAGCAGAAGCCCGACTCTCGATCGAGGCTTGGATCCCGACCGATCGAGAAAGAACTTACAACGCGGAGGAGAACGAACATGCGATGGTCGTGGATCTCGATGGGGTCGAAGAGAAGAGATAGCTAGCCGCTCGGCGTATGGCCGAGTATCAGAAGCGAGTCAAGAGTTCAAAGGACGTCCGTGTCAACCCTCGTTACTTTCAGGTGGGAGATTACGTTCTACGACGAAGGGAGGCCAGCCAACCTTTGGAGGGCGGGAAGCTAGCTCAAAATTGGGAAGGGCCGTACATCATCAGCGCTATCATACGGCCGGGGACATACCGACTGGAGACGACAGCCGGTCGGGTAACCGAGGGGACTTGGAATTCCGAGCACCTCGTTATGTTTAGGCACTAGCCTATTTTTTGTAATTTTTGGACGAATTGGGGGCTCGACCTGCGAGTTAGTCCCGGTCACCATTTATTTATCCGCTGCGAGCGGGAAGGTTTAATGTACATACGATCGGTGATTGCTCAACCGTTTGCATACGGTGGCCCGGTCAGTTATTTCCTTTACCTTCATTGCACGCAGATCAATTCATCGCCAAGTTACATCGACCGGGCGAGTCTCTCGACCGGTCAAATGCACTCCTCTTCGGCGGATATTTGGGTCACGCCACCGATCGGGAAAGCCAGAGCTCTCAGCACAATTCCTCGATCTGTCCAACTTCTTTCCACTATTGCACCCACTCGTGCCTTGAGGGCACAATAGTGTGGGGGCTGGGATGAAGGAAGTGTCTATAAGCCCGTCGCTCGGGAAAGAGCCCGACCGTGGAGGCTTACCTATTTTCAAAATTTTGACAAGGCCAGGAGATCGGATAAACTCGATCGGGTAGGCCAGTTTGACGTCGAAATCTTGGACGCACGACCGGGCCATAAGGCCATAGGGTCGGGCGTCGAACAAGTCGAGTAGTGCATGACCGGGCCAAAAGGCCATGAGGTCGAGCATTAAGGGTCGGCACATGCATGACTAAAAATAGAAGTGCGAAAAGAGAGAACGAGCACAAAAATAGAAGTGCGAAAAGAGAGAACGAGCACAACAAGTTTGACAAAAACGAATTTTATTAATTAAGAGAGAGCTCCCGGTACAAACTCGGGACCGGGCTCCCGATCAAGGTTATTACAAACAGAAGTAAACCCTAGTCTACTTCTTCGCGGCCTCGGCATCGCCCTTCTTTGTCAACCCCGCTTCGCTCGAGGTGGCCACGGCTCCGCTCGCCTTAGTTTGCTCTTTTGGCTCGAAAGGCGTAAGCCCCGGGTCGGGTATATCATCGGGGAGCGTAGTTAGGACCAGCTGAAGATCATCCCCTTCAAGGGCTTGTTCCATGATCTTCTGTGTCTGTTCGCGCATTTTCCGTTGGCCGGCTTTGTATGCCCACCGGCCAAACGTCCATACCAGCTTCTCCCCGATCTCGGTGCCCCGAACGGACCGGAGAAAATGAGTGCCTGACTCGTTGTCCCGGAAGAGGTGTCGGGCGAGTTCGTCCGGGTTGTTTTGACGAGCTTTCAGCTCGGCCACCTCCCCGACCGCCTGCTGGGCGACCTGTTCTGAGAGATCCCGCTCCGCTTTCACCTTCTTGAGCTCTGCCTCAAGGTCCCGGATCTCCTATAATCGCCGGTTGGCGACTTTCTTCAGGGCCTCGGCTTCATTGGCCTGTAAGGCCCGTTGTTGAAGGGACTGGGCCACTCGGGAGATCTGCAGTGCATAAAAACGATCGAGTTAGCCGAGTGGAGTTACTTGCATAAAAATTAAAAGAAGGAAACAGGTTTACCTCAGCCAGGTCGTAGCCGATTTTCTCGGCTACCTGGCTCGGGGTCAGCTTCATAACATCCTCCTTGGCCGGCCCGGCGTTGCCGATCCGAGCAAGAATCGACGATCCGCCTTTACTGCCCCCGCCTGAGGGACTCGGAGACATTCTTCTCCGTCGCCTTCTCCTTCCCCTTCCCGACCGCCACCCGGGCCACCAGGACCTCAGATGCGTCCACCACGTAGCCTTCAGCCGTGGTGACGGTCGATGCCCCTATGGGTCGAGCAACCGGAACCTCTTTTCCCCCGGCCGGCTTGGTCTGGGCTTTCTTCTTGTCAAGCGAAATCATGGCCACCGGGCGTAAAGGGATGTCCTCATCACCAAAGCCGGTCATCTCTGCAAGCAAAAAAGAGGGTTAGATCAAGTTAGAGGCACGGTCGGGCTACTAAGGTCGGAAGAGGAGTTAATGTTGGGCCTTTGCCCTTCCGTTTGCCCCGAGCGGGCATCCTTACGATCGTCACGCCCCGGGGTTCGGGCTTGTACTTCTCAGGCACGTTGTATACGGGCTCGGGTAAGTTGGCCGCCTCAAGGGACTCGGGCGTCTTGAAGATTCGGTACTCATAAATCTCGCCCGAGATCTTGGTAACGACGTGTATAAGGGCCTGGGTCTCGATTGGGATGACTTGCTTTCGAAAGCGCTGACTCCAGACCCTCTCGACCGGGAGGATCCACGGATCGTACTTCACTGAGAAGATCCGGTTCTTCCACCCCCGGTTGTTCCCGGGCAGCCCCTCAATCGAGCACTTATCTGCTCGGGACTGGGTCATCAAAAATCCGCCCCCGTACGCGGCTGCCAACACCTTCACCTGGTAAACAAAATTGAATAGTTCCATGGTGCAGGCCAAGTTGTGCCGGCTGCAAATCTGGGGGAAGCACGCGATCATCCGGTGCGCGTTCGGGCAGATCTGTCCGGGCATAACTTGATAATAGCCCAAGAATGCGGTGAGGAGGCTTGAAAAGGGGAAAGTGATCGGGGCCATTAGTGAGTCGTTGTAACACCCCGTGTTACGGCCTTCAATCCCGGATTAATTATTTAATTAATCCCGTTAATAATAATTAAATATGATTTAATTCGGTTAGATTTCCTTTAATTAATTAATAAGGTCCACCATGAACCGTGGACCCTTTCCTAAATTAGAGTCCTAAGCCTATTAGGAATAAAGAAAGTAAACCCTTTACTATTCAGACTCTAATTAGGAATCCTAGACCTAGTTATCTATTAGGAATAAAGGAAGTAGGCCTTTTACCATTCAGACTACGATTAGGATTCCCTTTAATTAATTAATATGGTCCACTATGGACCATGGACCCTTATCCCTAAAATAAGCCCTTAGTCCTATAAGGAATAGAATTAGTAAACCCATACCATTCAGACCCTAATTAGGAGTCTTAAATATATAAATAGGGATATAGGAGGCACCTAGATCTTTCACCACCATAATCTCTCACCACACAAGAAGTTCCAAGAATCCCCTTAGGAGAAATCAAGAAAGAAGAAGGCTTAAAGAAAGACCCTTCATAGCCAAGGAATTAATTAAGGCTAAGAGATAACCCATGTCTCAACAAAACCTATTTTCATAGCTATGATTCCCCTCTTAGGATTTTCCCATAATTATTGTGTATTGATGATTTGTGATATTATTATTGATGATCGGTGGGATGATTTCATGGGTGATCTTGATGATGAGAGGTTCTTGATAATTATGGTGTTCTTGATGATTATATGACGTTCTTGATGATCATATGATGTTCTTGATGTTTATGGGATATTCTTACCGAATCTTGATATTAGAAGATGAATTGTGTTCTTGTTGATTTAAAAGTGATTAGAACCCTAGGTTGCATCGTGAAACACGTATGGTAATATTCTTGGTGTATTGGGCGGGAATTCGCATGTTTGGGCGTTGATTATATCTAGAAAAGCATGATAGGTTATGTGTCGTACGTTTCTTGATTTTGATCCGTTAATTGTCTACGTGTGTTATCAATTTCGTTTGAAAGTGTCTAAGCATGGTTTCGGGTTCCACAAAGGTTCCCGGAGTGTTTTTGGTGAAAAAGAGTCAGTGGGGGGTAGGTGGGGGTAGGGGACCCGCCACCTACCCACGGCCAAAAGGAGCCTCGCCGGCAGTGGGCGGGCAGCTGCCCGGAACAGTGCCGCTGGAGGGTGACCCCTCACCCACTGGCTACCCGCTGGTTTGTAGTTGAAGGAGTTTGGAGAATAAAGTATTGTCTTGTTATTTACACTCTGTCTACAAGCAAATACACAGCACCATATATATAGGTAGAAGATGGAATACTAATAGAGCCCTAGGGATACTAACAGACATAGCCCTAGGGATACTAACAGACATAGAAACTGAACAGTCATAGGAAATAATAAAAGCATAATAATGAGTCTCAACATCCCCCCTCAAGCTGGAGCATGAATATCAAAAGCTCCAAGCTTGGTACACAAATATTCAACTCTGGGACCTCTTAAAGCTTTGGTGAAGATATCAGCCTACTGATCATTTGTACCCACGAATGAGGTAACGATTTCCCCGGATGTAATCTTTTCGCGAATAAAATGACAATCGACTTTGATGTGTTTTGTTCTCTCATGAAAGACAGGATTGGATGCAATATGCAAGGCTGCTTGATTGTCGCACATCAGTTTAATAGGCCCTTTCATGCAAAGATTTAATTCAGTCAAGAGATGCTTTAACCAGATTAGTTCACATGTTCCCAAGGCTATTGACTGATATTCTGCCTCTGCACTTGATCGAGCCACCACATTTTGCTTCTTACTTTTCCAAGATACTAGATTGCCACCAAGAAAAATGCAGTACCCTGAAGTTGACTTTCTATCCCAAGAGCACCCAGCCCAATCTGCATCAGTATAACCAACAATCTCTGTATTTCCACGATCCTTGTATAAAACACCATTCCCGGGAGACTTCTTGATGTATCGTAGGATCCTAATGACAGCTTCCCAATGGCTATCACACGGAGAATCCAAAAATTGACTCACAACGCTAACTGCAAAAGAGATGTCAGGGCGAGTGACGGTTAAGTACAACAATTTTCCAACCAATCTTCGATATCTTCCTGGATTTGAAAAGGGCTTCCCTTGTTCCGGTACAAGCTTAATGTTAGGATCCATGGGAGTATCAATAGGTCTGCAATCACTCATACCTGTTTCCTCTAATATGTCTAAAGCATATTTTCAATGAGATATACAAATCCCTTGCTTTGACTGGGCAACTTCTATCCCTAAGAAGTATTTTAATTTTCCAAGATCTTTTGTCTCAAAATGTTGGAAAAGATGTTGCTTTAGCTGGAGTATTCCTTCTGCATCATCTCCTGTGATAACAATATCATCGACATAAACAACAAGATAAACGCTCTTACCATGTCGATGCCGGTAGAATACAGAATGATCCACTTTGCTTTGGACTAACCCAAACTCTTGCAGAACTGTACTAAAACGTCCGAAACAGGCACGTGGAGACTGTTTCAATCCATAAAGAGAACGTTTTAATTTGCAAACCAAATCAGTCTCCCCCCCTTGAGCAACAAAACCCGGAGGTTGCTCCATATACACCTCTTCTTTTAGATCCCCATGTAAAAAGGCATTCTTGATGTCAAGCTGGTATAGAGGCCAATGATGGATGGCAGCAATAGACAGAAAGATTCTGATAGAAGAGATCTTGGCTACGGGTGAGAACGTATCAGTGTAATCAACGCCAAACACTTGACAATACGCCTTGGCTACAAGGCGAGCTTTGAGTCTATCTATCTGTCCATCAGGCCCAACTTTGACATTATAAACCCAACGACAACCAACAATTGTTTTGCCAGGAGGTAATGGAATCAAGTCCCAAGTTCCCGAGGATTGCAAAGCAACCATTTCATCTACCATAGCTTGCTGCCAACCAGGATGGGAAAGAGCTTCCCTAACTGAATTAGGAACAGAAACAGATGATAAACTGGAGATGAAAGCATTGTAAACAGGGGAAAACCGGTGATAAGAGACAAAATTATATATAGGGTAGGGATTGCGAGTAGACCGGTTACCTACCCGACTAGCAATGGGCGGACTGGAGATTGGAGCAGGACCCGAATCCGAGGGAAGAGACCGCTCAGGAGATGAATCAGCAGGTTCAATGTTTGCAGCAGTAGTGGTTGGTGGTAATTTTGACCGACGATGATAGGTGAACTGGAAAGGAGAAACAGTGTGGGTTTGTGATGGATTGGGAGGTAGGACAACAGGAGATATTGGTATTTCTGTCCCTCCTTCAAATGAGGGAACTGGTAGGACATCAGGAAAAGGATCCATTACCAAACACAATGGACGGAAGAGACTTAGAGTTTGTGAGATGGGTCAATAAGGAAGAATTACCACATATATGTTCGGAGGCACCTGAATCAAGGACCCATGGTCCGAGAGGTCTAGATTGAGAAACAAGGGCAGCATGAGTCTCTCCCGTATGAGCCAAAGGAGTGAAAACAGTAGCTTGGGCATTAGCCTTAAACCGTGCAAACTCTTCATATTCTGCAAGAGAGACATTTTTAGAACCTGATTCTTCTAGTTTGAGTTGAGCCACATTTGTAGGAGCAGGCAACGGTTTCCCGTGCAGTTTCCAACATCGGTCCCGTGTGTGTCCAAATCTATTGCAGTAATCACAGTATCTAGCATTTTTCTGCCCACTATGGTCTTTATTCTGATTGCCTAGATTATTACCACGACTTCCTTAGATCATAAGAGCAGATTGTTCTGTAGTGGATGCAGAAGTTTCACCAGGAAAAGAGGCCACTTGAAGAAGGCGTTTGAAAAACTCTTGGACCCCTGGCACACCTTTATCCCCAAGAATCTGGTTTCGAGTATTCTCAAACTCGGGGCCTAATTTAGTCAAAACCAGAACAACAAAAAACTTTTCACATTGTGCAATCTGTTCATCAGGTGTCCCTCCAACGGGTAAAAGCTTATTAAACTCAGTTAATAAACCTTGAGTTTTCCCAAGAAAGGCTTCCATACTCATACCATCCTTCTTTAAATTAACCAAATTATCAACAACTGTGTAACATTGTGAAATATCATTAGTGTACAAGGATTTGGCTTGACTCCATACCTCAACACATGTTTTAAAAACTCTAAATAGTTGAATTAACTCAGGTGAAAGGGATTGCCATAGAAGACTACAAAGTTTTGCATCCACCCTTTTCCAAATTGCCTTCTCATTTTCTGGTACCTCAGTTTCTACCCCATGTTCCAAGTGGTCAATAACACCCTGGCCCATAAACCACATTTCAACGGCATCCGACCAAGAGTGGTAGTTTTGTGACCCACATAATTTTTCAGAGGTAATAACTGGATTTCGAGATAAATTAGGCACAAACACTGAGCGAGAAATAGCATTTTCAACATTGGTAGAAGTAGCATTTTCAACATTGGTAGAAGTTTCCTCGGTTCCAGTTGAAGACATAGTTGATAAAAAGGAAGAATATTACCAGGAAAGCCAGAGGAGGGTCGAAAATGGAACTGGAAAATATCGCCGGAGGAGCTCTCACGCGCCGGCGCGTGGAGGCGCGTGACGGCGGAAGGCTGCGAGTGAGGTGGCGCGTGAGGGCGCATGCGGTGGCGGTTTGAGACGGGACTTCGACGGCCGGGGTCGCCTGCACTTTCAGACCGGCGGTGGTTCTTCGGAACTTTACGAAAACTTGCGATGAGGAGTTTTCGAAGAAGAAGCGTAGACAGACCCTGCACTGCTACTGTTCATCCTCGAAAATACTGTTCATGCTCGGAAATAAAAAGGGATTCAGGCCAATGGTGGCTCTGATACCAAGTTGAAGGCGTTTGGAGAATAAAGTATTGTCTTGTTATTTACACTCTGTCTACAAGCAAATACACAGCACCATATATATAGGTAGAAGATGGAATACTAATAGAGCCCTAGGGATACTAACAGACATAGCCCTAGGGATACTAACAGACATAGAAACTGAACAGTCATAGGAAATAATAAAAGCATAATAATGAGTCTCAACATACCCCACCTTGGGATTTTGGCTTCCCCGTTTGATGTTCCCCCGACCCCCGTGGTGTCCAAACGGACTCCGTCTATCGTGCCTATGTCTAGTTTGATATTTCGGGTACCGTTCGTAGGTTGTATGAGTCTTATATATTGCATGCTAGTTGAATTGGTATCCCGTTGACCTATGTGAAAGAGGTATGAACCCCTTAGGATTATTCTTAGTATGTGAAGAATCACGCATAGGTTTTGTTATACGTTTTCTCCCCCTTCTCAATGTGTTAATGTGGGTTGCATGTGCTTGCTATGTGTTATGTGTGCATGATACCCCAATTTGGTTGCGATCGAATTGGTTATTCCTGAGCTGCGGTTCAGAAGCTGGCTGCGGTCAAATTTACACTCTTGGGCTGCGGTCCACCGTTTGGTTGCGATCAAACGTTTCTACATGAGCTGCGGTTCATATTTCCTGGCTGCGGTCAGATGACATACTCTTGGGCTGCGGTCCACTGTTTGGTTGCGATCAAACATTATGATGAGCTGCGGTTCATCGGTCGGTTGCGATCGACCCCTCCGTGTTGCGATACGGGGCAGGGTGCTGTGGGGCCGTGTCAGAGCTATATGCGCTGACCATCATGTATGGGCATGCGATTGGTCCTGTGGCGCCAACAAAGTGTGCTTATGTGATGAGATATGGATGAGTTGTTGTTATGAGTACCTTGGGGTGTGACTATGGGATTTATGCTAGGGATTCGTATATGTTGGGTTAGGGATATTTATTGTGCTCATCTTTATCTGCTGTGCCTGTTTGTAAACTTTATATGCTTGGTATAATTGTCGTCTGTACTTAGCTATATCTGTTGAGTCTATCCCCGTTTTAAAAGCTAGAGTCTCGTAGGATATATCTTCATGCTTCGAGATGACTTTTCGTATATCTATATATATCTCTATATGTAATGTATTTCAACGCGTTGGAGTGGGTTACCAGCATCTCTCGCTGAACAGATATATTTGGCTTTCAGGCACAGACGAGTAGATCACTGGAGCGCGCTAGAGATTCGAGGCATAGTGTAGATAGTTTCCCTTTCGGCCTGCGTGTCATTTACATTATTACGGAATTTAGTTAGTTAGCCTGTGCATCTGAGTTCTCCAGCTCAGGTGTGGCATAGCACCCCGTACCTAGCTTTATGTTTAACAATGCTCTGTTTGGGATTTAATAAGAGAATACCTTTATTATATAAGTCTTTAAAAGTTTTAAAATTTCGGGGTGTTACAGTTGGTATCAGAGCCTAAGTTTGACCTTAGGATAAGACTCTAAAGACCGGACTTTAGGACATTAGGCTTGAACTCTAGGTACTTAGGAACATAGGATTCAAGAATCTTAGGACGCGCGGTGAGATTGTGAAACCTTCACGTAACCTCCCCTCACCTTATCCCTCTCTAACTTAAAATAACTTCCCCCTACGCTTACCACACCAAGGTAAGGGTGCAGCACACTGACTCATCGATACAATAAATATTGACCCTAAAAAGCAGTAGCATGGCGCCAACAAGAAGACAGTCAAGGATCCCACACTCCTCGAAGAATGAACCCGAACCTTCAACAAAGTCCTCGGGTTAGTGGAATACCTTGAGGAACGCCGCGTAGGGATAGCCTCATTCCACTTCAAGACACGAGGCTGATCTTTGATAAATCCACGAAGAACCCACTTATGGGCAACAACCAGGGGTTCAACTAGGAGTGCCTAAGGGCACGGCTACGGGGACGATTCCATCCCGCACCTGTAAGGGCAACCATGTACGAGGAAAATCCTCCACCTAAAACAATGGATGACCACCATCAGGGAATACCACAAACGATCCCTCCAGCTGGCTCGTTTCGCGCCTGAATTAGATCCTACAGAGACAACCAAGATAAAGAATTCTGTGACAGACCACAACTACGAAACCCAGAAGGCCCTAATTGTAAGCAAACCCCGCACACCCAACGAAGCCTACACTAGTAATGCCAACTTCTACCAAACGGGGAATTTAGGGACAAACCCGAAAGAAGGAGTAACGGAAGTGGGAGACCGCTCCCTCCAGCATGAGCGAACCCTTCCGGAACTGGTTAAGAATGGACGCAACTATCCCAGCCCGGAGACCGGGAACGCCAATTAAATGC